GGTTGATAACGATTGGAAACTAATCAAGATTAGTAAAGGCACTAATGAACCCAACCCTCCTAATCCTGGTAATTCACATAATCATCATTCATTTTTATTACTAATAGTATTAGGATTATATAATTTGTAATCACTTACACATTATTAAGTAATTTTGTGTTTAAGATTTTCTGAAAACTGTGTTAATAACGGGAATTAAGTATTAAATCCTCAGAAAAAAACAACTAAAGAAAAGTACAAAAACTCATTAATTGCAAAGATTTTGAAATCTGAGTCCAAATACTTGTTAATGATTTGAGACTGATTTTAATATTTTATGTCATTTACAATGTATTTCTGCAAAAATACATTTTTATAATAATTAAATTAAAGATTTCACTTAAATCTGCATTTTATTCTCTAATAGCAATACATTTTCTCAGTAATATTGATTGAAATACAATTATTATGCATATTCTCAGACATTTAATGCAAGAAATATTAATGTTAAAATATAACACTTAAATAATAACACTTAAACTATAGATTATGAGTACTTGAGTACAGAATAACTAATAAACGATTGCATTTTAAATGTATTTTATTCAATAGATTTAATTTAATTAAAAAGATTCATAAGTAATTGCCTTATAAAATGTTTTAACATGTTTTATATGAAATATTCAACCAATTAAGGAGAGGGACAGACGGGGGGAGCGACGGAAACGGCGTCTGAGGCCACGAATGCACCGAACAATGAGGCGACAAATCCACCCGAAAATGAGGCCAACACTGAGGCCGCAAAACAGGAAACCAATAATAATGAAAATCCCAACAATTCAGCCGAAAATAACAACAATAACCAAACTCTGTCGGCACCGGCGGCCGGAAATGACACCCTATTATATAAATGGGAAGATTTGGGTGAAGATGACGGCACCACCGCTATTACAATAACGCCGACCTCCCTATTGAGCGACGGGTCTTACAAATGCAGTGTTAAGAGTATGTCTGGAGGAAAGGAGAAGACCACAGAACTGGTCAAACAGATGAGAGTTATATTCAGACCACCGGACGGTACGCCTCCCGAAGCGAAGCTCATAAGCAAAGACGACTCTCATATAAGGATCAGATGTACGGCTCCGGCATCTCTTCCGATGACTGCCATCACATTCTTCGTGAACGCAGAGCCGGCGGCGCGCGAAGACGTCCACAGAATGGACTCAATTCGTGTCCCGAACGCCACTTATGCCGAGAAACAAGAATTGCAATCAACTGTTGAAGAATTGAGAATCAGAGCGACGAAGAATACGGTTCTCAACGAGAGATTGTATGTCTATTGCGGGGCAACTCTGGCCAACTTCTACAACGGATCCACTCTTTTAGATATTGCATACGACGGACCCCTTCATAGCGACACATCAGTCACGGCAGCGATGATTGTATTGATAATTGTGATCGTTTTGGTGGTAATCATAATCATTGGTGCAATCGTTTGGGTTATACTCCGGAAGAAGAAGATTCACGCCCTCAACAAAGTGTCTGAACTTTTCAATAAACAAAAAACTATAACTGTTTTGGTGGACAACCCTAAGGATGAGTGAATTGATTGCACTAATCCTCTAAAACTTGTCATTTATTTGCAATAATCAATAGGTTTTTATAATTTATAATTACTTATTAAGGCTTTTATGTTTGCGTTTAATCACTGGATATTTTCGGTAAATAAGTTTTTTGTTAAATTCTTTGAATAGACTTTTTATCCTTTCCTTTGAGTCCTTTTATTCACTTCAAACTTAACTTTCTTTCACTTATATTTGTTGTCCATTATATCCGAGCCTTAATTTTTTGATATAAAAATAATGTGAAGAATGTTTGCCATCGAAATCGTGTCATTAATTATGACAATAGGAGAAGCAATGCGTGATATGTTGTCATCAAATATGATATCGATTGTCATTATATTAATATAGAGAACAAGATTTCAATTAAGCCTTAAAATTTTTGGGATTTCATACAAATAACGGACAAATAGGATATAAGTCTACTGTAGTTATCATCGATTGACATATATTTAAACATTTAAATATTGATTTTTCGCAATAGAGTTCAGTTATAATTAACATATCGTTCACTCAATAATAAGTGGTCTGAATATTATCACTAATGAAACAAAAAATTATAAAAAACTAGTCATTTATATTGATTTATATATTAAATGAAACGAAATTGTGTCAACAGTTGTTAATATAGATTTGGATTTAGTGTCTTTTTATATGTAATAATCGCACGAATAGTGCTAAAAGTACTCTCAAATTAAGTCAATTTTTCTAATAAATTGGTGTTTGTTTTTAGTTTTTCATCTGACAAACAATAGACAGAAATATATTACCTAAAGATTTAGTCAATTTGCACATAAATTATACCCATTTAGTCATTAATTGAGTTAAATTTTACACTAATTTCAATACATTATTAATTCTGTACATTAGTAACAATGAAAAAGCAATTCGTTAAACGTATTGTTATTTTATCGCTTATTAATTCAATTGTAAAAGAAATGTGTGAATAAAAAGGGGTGTTTGGGATGCGGTTGAAGGGCTGGTGCGGTGCCAAAAATAATTGTTTATTAACATTATGCTAATTATTATTATTAATTGTGATTAATTATATAATAGATTCTCTATATTTGATGTTAATAATAGAAAATGTATTGAAAGGAAGCCCTGAAGACCACATGTTTTGTGATTAGATATTAAAGAATACAAAATTCAAACAATAATTATTAATTGACATTAATTTTTGTGTAAAAATTTGAATCAAAAATAAAATACAAATTATTTATTTCAGTTTAGTTTGAGTTTTTATTTAATTATTTTTCTGAACATTAATTTAATGATAATAGAGTTGTATATATGTTATCACTATATAAATCACAGGTTTTAATGTTTATTCATTTTATGTATAATTTGTCACTTTTATATATTTAACAAGTATTTCGGATCTAAACATAAACTCAAAATTACTGTTAAATAATTATAATATATTTTCATACTTTAGACAAAAATCTAATTAAAACTGCTTTAATTAGAGTGGAAATTGAGTTTTGAGTTTAGGCTTCGATACCGTATTACAAACTAAAGCATTCAATAATTTATCCTTAAATTTATACAATTGTTCATAAATTAAGTTAATTCTAATCTAAACAATACTAATTTGAAGGACTTGTATAAAAAGGGTGTGTATTTAAAAGTCAATAGTAAATAGATTTTTATTGTAATATTTTACTGGAAATTCTCTCTTAAAATATATTTCGAGAAGAAAAATATATATAATTTCATAATCATATCAAATATGAATGAGAAATAATGTTATGAGGAATGGAAATGGATATCGAAATTATTGATGAACTTATCGATTATATAATTCACTCAAACGTTAGTACAGACTGTTGTCTATTAGAGAAGAGGTCTGCGATAATGTGATGCCACGGAAGCGTTACATACGTTATGAAGGAGTGCAGGGCTGGAGAGGAGGCCCTCTTGTTCTCCTTCCAGAAGTGGTACGCCTGACGGAAGCCACGCATTGACCACATCCTGTTGTACGAGTCGTCCAACTCTACACCATATCAAGTATATCGACAACAATTAGGCCATAATTCATATTACTTTTCACTCATTGTTTTAATTAATTATTTATTTGAACAAAAGTATGTGTTGTTTAATATTAAATAAATTACTGTAATTCTATGCTTTGAATAATTGGATTAATCAATTACAAGTTGAAATCCAAGACATACAAGACATAAATTCAACTAAAATTTCATAATAACTTTTAATTGAATAATAAATTAATTCGTTAAAATCTATATGAGTTTTAGCTACCATTAAAAATGTGTAGTAACATGCACAAACTGTGTGTAATATTTGTATAGAAAGAACGGTATGCTTACCATCCCTTACATCTCCGGCCTCGATCTCATTGATTCCGTTCCCATTGACCAAACAGTTGTTGATCTCCTGTTCAGAGATGGCTTTCTTAATCTCGCGCTTCTGTTGCCAACCCCTCACGTAGTGCTTGAGGTTAGAGCTCGGGTCAGACATTCGTCTTTGGATGTAATCATTTTCCTGGTCATCAGATTTGACACAATCAGTAAATAGTGATAGAAGTGCATACACAGGGTCTGGTATAACCTTTTCGGACAACAGTCTAATTGTATATTAAACACAAACCACTCAATCACTGCTTACCTCCATATCGTCTTCGAACTCAAAACTAGTCAACGAGAAGCCGGGCTCTGAAGTCGGTGTCTCACACGTGGCGCCCACCTGTTTGGCGACAGCCATTTCGGCGATCCCTTTACCCGCCGGACCTTTCATTCGTACAAATTCTATGCGTTGCTGTCCCTGAAAGTAGGGCTTTGGTGTCCGCCGAGCGATTCGGGTCGAGACACTCGCCTAANCTACTTTTTTATGTGATTAATAATTACTGATTATATAATACAAAATTTATTGTTTTATATATTGGTTTCAGTGATTTGAATAATTAAATTGAAATGTTATGAATTATTGTAATCTTTATCTATATAATTTGATGATTTATGGTTATTTACAGGTTATTCCAAAATAGAGAGGGGACATTTATAATTTAAACGTGGTTATTGTTTGACCATGGTAATTTCCAAATATTACTCACTATAAACGTACTCGCTTATTTAGATTAGTGTATGAATAATGTGCACAATTTTTTATACGGTTGGCACTATTCTGGCACTTTGGAAGCCGTTGGTTATTTATCAACTTTTTTGTGTCACAAACTTTTTTATTACTACTAATCCCATTGATTGATATTTGAAGTTTTAATTTAATTTAAAGTTATAAAATTTGTGAATACAAATTGTAAAAACAGAGATTTTTATTTAAAAACTTAAGACTTTAAAATTAAAACTTACGTTATATTTAGCAAAATATAGCATATTTTTACTGTTTTAACTACAGTAAACTAAAACATGTGTTAATTAATTGCAGCATTAATAACAATGTTTTGTATTAAACGTTGATTTTAAACATTTTTGCTAAAATGTTTTTAAAATTGCAATATTAATTAACTAAATCATACGATTGTAATAATTTGATTGCATATTATTTACTGCTATTATATTTAATGTCATTTATCTATTAAATGCCTGCAAAACATCAAATTATTTGTTTAATAATAGATACTCTAATCATAATTGAATATAAAATACAATCCAATTTAAAGCTTTATATAATTTTATTAGATTTTGTTTGAATGCAAATAAAGGTTTTCAAATATAGTCTGTTTTCATTCAATTACAAAACAAATCGATTCATAAGTCGTCTCAAAAACTCTAGAAAATTGTCTTATTATACGAAAGACATAACAAATTGCATACATTTGTATAGTTATTGAGTTTTGTAAAAAACATTTATTTTAAGACAAATAACAGAAAGCATTACATTTCGATACTTTAGTTATATAGCATTTGATGTAAATCTTATTCCTTACAGAATCGGATTTCGTTGTCATCGCTTCAGAGGTCTTTTGGACGGATCTATTTGTGCGACACTTTGTCAAAGCGTCGGATGTATTACATGACGACATGTTATTCTTCGTGAGAAAAGTGCCCAAAAAGGGGAACAAATATGTCTCACAATATGATGTAATTTACATTCTTATCACTTATTATAACAATTTTGTTATTCGTTTTAAACAATTTGAATTTGAATTATATTTTCTTTTATCTCTTTTTACCTTATTTTCTATTTTCCAATTTATTTGTTACTTTTCTATTCAATCCCATTATTTGCTATATTTATTTTAAAAACTAAACAAAACTAGAATTGTTTGGTTTATCTTTCATGGAACTGTTAGAAAATATTTTGAATTTTATAAGTTATTTGTTTAATTCTTTGAAACTCAATACTAAACAACTTTATATCAATATTTAACTAAATTGTTTGAATTGAATGATTGATTGTATGATAATATAGACGCGAATAGAAGTGTTTCGGAAAGACTCCAAACGTCTGCCGATCGGTGAGCCGGACATCGATTGGGAGGAAACCCTATATCTGAATGTAATTATGCAAAAGTTTGAGTACAACATGACGTGCGCTGTCTGTACGCGAACGAGTCCTCATGAGTTGCAAATACTCAAAAA